AACCAACCCAAAATAAACAAAGACCTGTTCTTTTCATTTACTATAAATATCGGTTACAGTGCTGTATCTACAGGTATTTAAGGTTTCCAACCTATAGAAAATAACTAAAATTTTAGATTTTATTTTCTAGGTGATTATACTGGTAACCCTTCCAATTAACTTCCAACATCTACACTACAGTGTCCTTTTCTACCCAGGGAACCCTTCAAAGAACTCAGAGTGCAAACAAAGGAAACAAAGAACCCCCAACCAAAAGGCTTTGCTCACCTGTACTTCCATGACGCGCTGCTCCACCTCTTCCCACGTGATGTTGCCGAGGTCCTGGTCCTGGATGCCGAGGGCTTTGTTGAAGAAGAGCTTGATCTCCCAGAACTGGAAGAAGGTGAATCCCGCGTGTACCAGGCGCAGGACCCAGAACACGGAGGCCAGCAGGATCACTATCACCAGCTTCCACGTGTAATGCTCCATGCACTGATCGTGCGTGCGGATGACGTCCGGCAGGGTGATCTTGTCCGTGACGTTGGGGTTAAATCTGGCAGGGAACTTGTTGCGGAACAGAATATCATAGTCCACGCACGTGAGGAGGAACGTGGTGAACACTATCACAAAGATGAACTGCGCCAGCTCAAAGCACTGCTGCATCATCATGCACAGGAGGCCGTGGTTCTGGTGGTACTGGTAGACCCTGGTGAAGAAGGAGTCGAGGTCCTCCAGGTGGTTCCATCTCGACTTGCTCGACTTGGGCACCACGTGGAACACCATGCTGGAGTGGGTGTCAGGGGAGAGGTCATCGTCACGCTCCCTGTCCTCCCCCATACGCACTCCCTCGGTGTCCCCCCCATCCAGGGGCTGGTACGTCGTCTGAAAGTTCTGGGACATGACGGACTGGGCATACGGACCACAGAACCCAAAATCAAATAAAAACAATGGCAATAATGAAACTCAAACGGGAGGGGAGACGGTAAACCGAAGAAAAATATGAAAACCAAAGCCTTTTTTTTCGTGTCAGCGTCTCGTGCGAGGGGCTCTGCCGTCCACGTTCCGATCAGCTGATTTCCCCAAACAAGTCCGAGAGCTGGACACCAAGGCGCTCCCCCTTCGCTTTATCACTCGCTTCTGCGCCTCCCGGCTCCTCCTCCGCGGCTCTCGCCTCACATCCTGGCCTCGCCTTGGCACTCTCTACGACATAGCACGAGTCTGAGCACGAGCGGGGGCCACGAAGAGGAAACTACGCACGAAAAGGGCGAATGGCGTCGCATCTCCGCCTCGCCGCCCGAGCCTCCGTCGCGCTGCTTCCCGCTCGCGTTGCGGCGCTGCGCCTCCCCGCCCGCCGCTCGTTTATCTCGCGCTCCGCTCCTTCGCTCTTCTATCCAATGTGCGTGCCACCGATGCCCTCCGCCTTTTAGGAGTGCAATCTGCGCCGCCGAATAGTTGGCAGGAGGTCAGGGCGCCGCCGCGGGACGGGGAAATACGACGCGTCGCAGCTGGCGACGTGTGGCAGCCCACCGCTGCTGTGCCACCCGGAAATACCACCCAAACAAAGGCCTATCCTGTGTACATCGCTTTTCTTTCTCTTTTCTGCCTACTCTCGGCTCTGCCTTCGCTGCGATTCGCTTTTCTAAAATTCTCGGGGGCCTTTTGGTGGCGAGGAAGGGCCGGAAAGAGCGGGACGTGTGAATGACAGTTGGGGCGGACGGGCCCTTGACGTAATCTTTCCGAATATCTGCATGAGTCATTCTTTACGTCAGGTGGGCACACCGCTGGAGAAAAATGTGGCCATGCAGTCCTCGTGCAATTGTCCTCGTCACGAAATAAGAGGCTTTCGCATCGAGACCCACAGGCCCCGAACTACGCCATTTTGCCTCCGAGACGAACCTCCCCCTCTATTCCTCGCCTCTAAAGACAACCCCATCATTTATGCCCCATTTGTTGCAACCACAAGACTCCTGCAACATTCCCACGAAGGAAATTGACGAGATATTCCCCCTGACTTACCTTGCAGGGCGATTTCGCGAAGAGAAGTTCGTCCGGGAATCGACTTCGTCTCCGTTTCGCGCCAACCCTTTCGAACGCGCCGCCATGCGTGCCGTCCGGGTGCGTGGCCGAGGGAGGCGCCAGCTGTTCATTGACCGCTTCACATTTCTATATTCCGGGAAGCAAGGCATAAGGAACAACCATTGAAATTATTTTCAAGTAGCTTTAAGATATATGAATAATAAAATAGAACTCATCATCGGGAGAAATAACTCGAAGGAGGAAGCCAACGAAGTCAAGCAGCAGCGGTTTCGAACTGAAGATGGCGGCGGCAGGGCGCGCTGTGATTGGTCGACGGCCTCGGGCTCATCATGGCGGTTTGTTATTCCGCGTGATACGAGCGCGGCCGCCGCTGAAGCCCTCCCCTGCTCGCGCCCGTCCATGCTGCGCCCTTTTCGGTGAATGAACACGACCATCGGTGAGTGGCGAGGCTTTGGGAGGCAGAGAGGTAGGGGGAAGACACGTAATAAGGGCGCGGGGAGCGAGAGAAGGAGGGCCCGGAGGGAACGTCTCGCCTCCCGTCCTGGTCTTCGCGAAGTCGGATTTTGTATTTGGCCTCCTCCTTGGCCTCCTCCTTGGCCTCCTCCTTGGCCTCGGGTTCTGCAGGGCCGTCGGCGGGGGTTACGGCGCGGGCGGCCTGCGGGAGGGGAGGAGCGGAAGTCCGAGGGGCGCGAGAGAGGAGAGAACGCCCGTAATATGTTGCCCGCATTTGAATTCGTGGGCAGACTCGGGCCGTAAACAGGAGCACAACAACACAGTCTTGATCTGTCTGCCTCTCTCTCCGTCTGTCTGTCTCTCTGCTTCACTGCCCTTCTGTCTGTCTGTACAATTGCCTATTTTTTCTTATTAGTGTCTATATTTCTGAAGCATATGGTGTTTGTTGTCAGTAGGACATTGTGTTTGAATAGAAAAAAATGTCATGCAATTTGAAGACTATTTAGATTTAATATGGTTGAGTCCTTTCTTTAAATCTCTCATGGATGAAGGAAAATCTGGGGTTAATTTGCTTCAATCTTCATTACTATCCACAATGCGAAGTGTGGAATTAAGAAATTGATAAAAGCACTTTTTGTCACTAATGTTTCAGTTGCAGATTGCATTTAAACATTATGATTGATATGGTAAATCTTGTAGTTAATGATCAGTCACATATTGTATCATATTTCTCCTAGCCAAGCAACATGTTTGCCTCCTTTTGCCAACTTTTGCACAATGAATGCTGCAGACATTCTAATCCACCTGAACCGACCCCAATATTAGATGCTGCTGATTAAATTCTTGTAGCCCTTACTTATCATTTTTCGTCATATAATGAATCCGTTCTTATTATGCTTAATGTATTTGTAAACCTTTTCTGGCACATTGAAACTTCAGAGGCCACAGCAATCCAGACTGGAAGCCACCTTATCTATGCGGGCAAGTTATTTGTGAAAGTTGTAGTATGTAGTATGGTTCAGTATAATTGATAAATCTTTTAGGTATGCAAAAACAACTGCACAGTAAAGAGGCACTTCAACAACTTTGTAGCTAACAATTAACCCGTCGTGTACAGGCGTCATAACATAGCGCTTGATCTGTGCGGTATGGCTGTACACTTGGCAACGTGCCAGAGCATGTGGAGTGGGAAGTTCTGCTGCGTGTAGTGGACTCCCGCACCCAGTGTCTGGATGTTGCCAGAAATCACCGGTGGGAGAACTGTGCTGCGAAAGTAGATTGTGCACCATAAAGTTTCTAGTCTGAATGGCAATCACTTAATATTCACTTTAGTGATTGATGTTTGCTATATTAAATGACTTCATAATTTGCAATTAATGATAAATGTCACAAATAAAAAGAACCTTAGAATTATTTGACTAACAGATTCTTTGTGTTCTTTACTTTTCTGATGAGCACTTAAGCAAATGATTAGTACAAAAAAGATGATTTAATTAACCCCTTCACGACTGGTGATGCCGCTAGGAGTGAAAACAAACCGCTCGAAAACTGGTGTGGGACTGTGCGCTGCGGCGGTGTGCCAAAGTGCGGCGAGCCAGTGATTCGGCCAGATGTACCGAACTCACGTGCTCAAAGTCGGCGCGCTGCCATGGTTCGCCAGGGCGTAGAGTTTCTTCTTCTTCTTCACCCATCACCATTGGGTTAATAAATGTTTCATTTAGTTAAACATAATGTAGATGGTTGGTATTACACCAGTAAATAAAAGCAAATGTGTTGTCTCACATTTCAACAAGGCAAAACATTTTTATATTTTACATCGGAATGTTCAGGAATGGCTAAATACTTAAATCCATTCACACATGGATATTTGATGCCAGCGAAATTTTGTGGTAGTTCTTTACAGTATGAACACACTCACCAGGGACTATGTCCCTGGTCTCAAAGTTGCTCTGATTGGGTGGCCTGACAAACAGTCTCCACCTCTGTATGCTTGGCAAGATAGAGTTGAAACTCAGGAGTGCCAAGTGGACTTAGGCTATGGGTGGGGCTTTTTGCAATCTTTTACCTTTATTTGTGGTGTTACCATTCATGTCTTCTGGTACCAACAACTGCAACTTTTAGTCCTCTACAAGAATACCATCTTCAATTTGACCTAGCTTAGTGCATCCATACCATAAAGATAACCAGTTTTGCTTCAAAGAATTATTATTGACCTTTTTAATGCCTTATTGTCACCCAATGCTGACGGACCATGTGTGTCGGAGTCATAACAAGCCACTTGGTCTGCAGTATAAGCCAGAGCGCTCAGAGCGGGACGATCAGCTTGATGTAGCAGACTCCCGCACCAAGTGTCTGGCTATTGCCAGAAATCTCCAGAATTTTAAATTCTCAGATTTTTTTCATCCATCAGCTTTGGGTTAAATAAGTAACTAGTCCAAGCTTTGTTGTGGCACGTTATATGAGGTGGATGTTTATTGGCCAGAGGGAAGGGAGGACTAAGTGATTAAATGATACAACCAGTTTCGACTGTATTATTTTTGACATTAAATAACAAATTGATTACTAACTTGCATCAAAATTGTTGAATCGATTTGTCATGTTTTGTTTTCCTTTTGAATGAATGGAGAACTTACTGTCTTATCTAAAACAGAGTAACAACTTGGCCATGTTCTTATCAAAATGTAAGTGAAATGAAAAATCTGCCAGAGTTTTGTTTTCGGCAACTGTTATCAAAATTCTCTGGCCCCCCATTCTCATTACATGAAATGGCTGAACTCTGTAGCCAACCTCACTGAGCAGGGGGCTCCATTCCCTTGAACAGTTTCCCAAGTTGTAGCTGGTGTGGACCTAAGTTAGTGAACCCTAAGCAGATGAGAGATACAATTCAATACAGTAAATAGAAAGTCGGCCTCATTTATGGTGTAATAATTAAGATATCACAATATGATGGATACTAAAGTCTATTCTGAATGACCACCATCAACACAGTAATGTAAGCAAAACATTTCTCCCGGTGGATTTCACGAATGAAGGCTTTCAGAACTGTCAGCAATCCTAGCAGTGAAAACATGTAGAAAGTTATTATAGATAATGTTATGTATAACTGTTAAAAAGTATATTATTATTTTTAAAGAATTCATGAAATACCATGGAAGAGCAGGTATTGGTAATTATGAGGTAATCATATTCATAAGTGTAATAATGAGTTATGCAGTTAGTGTAGTACTTGAGACTGCAGAGGAAACAGCTTGAGCGACTTGGGAAAAAAAAAAAAGCCACCAAGGCAGTAGAGCCACCGGATCTTGCTTGATGTCACTATTCATTGAATATGTAGGAAACCTTTTTCTTTTTCTAATGTTTTAATATCTTTATTGTTATTATTATTATTATTATTAGTTATTGTTATTATTGACTTTAGGGTTATTATATTACTTTCAATACTAATACCCCTAAGAAATAAGAAAATCCATGAAAAAGTTTAGGGAATAGGACTAATAATCAACTTCTTGGTGATTAAACTCTTGTGGAGCTATTTATTTATAAGTAAACTTAATAAACCAAAAAACAAAATGGACATGACTTGTATGTTAATGCTATCCCAGCATCAGTAGGTTAAAGTTGAACAGCTCAATAGAAAAATTATACTTCTATTAAAGATACAGCCAAAGTATTTACCAATTACATGTAATGTGAGAGTTTGTTCCTCTTTCTTGCCTTCTTTCATTTGAATAGAAAAAAATATTCATTTATTGAACAATCACAATTTATATTCAGTTGATATCTGTAACTGATGCTCTGCCCAAAATTTAACCGCCTCAGAAGAATATGATCTGCAGAATTAAAACTGCTGATAGCATTTGACAGTAAACTAAAGAGCAAAAGCAAAAAAGATGGGCCAGTCTTTGTTTACTTGCTCTTGATGATGCAATAGAGGATGAGCTACTACTTGTTTTTGTTACCTACTTGCTCATGTATCTAAAAGTTATTGTTTTTACTATGTATTTGCTCCTAGTTACTTTTATACATTTTCTTGTTTACATTTTTCTGTGAATATCTATGAAATATTTTCTTTGTTAGTGTTGTGACTGTCTTCAATATTTATCTTCTCTGATCAGTTAGAAGTACTTTAAAGAAATCCTGTTGTTGCCGGAAATTCCAGGATGTTGGACCTTGACTGCTCATCTTTACTATAAACCCATAAAGCTTTAAAGGTGATAGCTAGGAGACATATCATAAAGGTTGGCTTCTTACTGGCTGTAAAAGTAGTGCTAGTACCAGTTACTACTGTTGCAGTTATTGGTATTTTTTTGTTTTGATTGAGATGTTTATCTTTGAATTATTTTATTGAAACCCACTAATATTTCTAGTTTCTAGATTGAGACTGTTGGTGAAGATTGGTATTTTCTTATAGATTACTCTCAGTAAAGACTTGCACTTCTTCCTTTTTTTTAATCTTCTTTTCCTTTCTGATATTGTTGTTGCTGCTATTCCTATTACCTCTATCAATGTTACTCTATTTGTTTAATCATATATTATTTATTGACATTTTATTCATTTACTTTTTTCATATGGCTATTAGCTTAATAATGCCTGGCCCCTCCACAGGTGGAGATGGTGGGTGTGAGTGTAGTGCAGGTGGCGAATGGGGTTCGTCACACACCCCTCCCACCTCTCACACACGAGTTACAGCTCAGCCATGAAGACCACACAAAGGAGCTTGACACATCCTCCCCACCACATAAAGTGTTGGGGGGGTTTGTTGGAGGGGGGCAGCTTGCTTGGCGAGCCTGTGGCCCCACCTTGGAGGTCATTGAGCCAACAACAGGAAGGAGAAAAGCTGCCTGGACATTTGGTGCCATCATGCACAATGCTGATGCCAGGGTGAGTGCCTGAGAACTCTTATCATTGACTTTGTATTCATGTGGATGTTTGGAAGTATGTTTTTTTGCACTGGATGATAGAATTGAGAACTTCACAGATTAAATTATAATTTAATAACATCAGTATTTTTGTCTATTTAGACTACTTACAGTTGTATCTATTAAAGTAGAGTCAGTGAAGCAGCAAAAAAAAGGTTCATTCATTCATTTGTTTATTTATTTGTCTTCTAGGTAACAAGTGTGGCTGGTGTTGGGCTTGGGACAATTTCCCAAGTTGTAGTTGGTGTGGACCTTGGTGCAGACCGCAGACCTCAGGGAATGGTTGCGCTTTTATCTCTCCACTCGTCACGTGTAACTAGAGTATTTCATTTTACTTACAAGGTAAGGAGGAAGATAGAAAGAACATCTGTGAAGAGTAAGATGATCAAAGCAGATTTTCTTTCAATTCAGTTTATTTTGAAAATCAATTATAAAATGCATATACTTCAAGTCTTCAAGTGAAAATGTGAATTATTTTTCATTTTACTAAGTTACAAAATGTTTATTAATAACTTCAAAGGTAACAAGTGTGTGTATGGTGTCCGGTGGAGAAGTGAGTGTGGATCCGGGCACCTTATCAGCAGAGTTGCGTCCATGGCGAGGTCTGCTGGTCGTTGGGACTTCGCATGGCACACTTCATCTAGTTGACTTAGCACTAGACCTGGGTGGTGAGTAAATATTTTCTAGTCTGTGGATACTTAATGAAGCAAAGTGCCTTTTAACTCTTATGTTTTATCTTCATACATTTCTTCAAATTGCTTGTATGCTTTTCAGGTCATAAGGTTTTGTCTGATGAGATCTCTCCAGGAACTTTAGTGAATATAACCATACCAGATGCCCAAGCAGAGACTTCCCGGTTCAGTGCAGTTATGCAGAATTGCCATCCAACTGTATGCTTAAGTGGTTAGTGTTTTGTTTTTATTTGTGTGTTATACTATTGGTATACTATACTATCAGAACTCTAGTACCATTTTCTGTTGGTATTAAAGCCAAATGGATGATGTGAAGGGGAATTATATCATTATACTTCTAATGAAAATACTCCAGTGTTTGATTTTATTTTGAGTAATTGAACTTTATATATGAATGGAATATCAGAACCATTTACTTATCAGGTAATCTTGGAAATCTGTAATGTTAGGTATAGGACTTGCTATTCCTTTTAATTTCGAAAAACTATTCTTCATCATCATTATCACTTTCTCCAGATGGAATGAGTCAAAATGGCCGCTTCCAGCTCATCGGGCCAGACGACAATGTGCTTTTTGAGACGGCAAGTCACTGTGTGGTGGTTACTGCCATGTCCTTCATCCCACAGCTTGCCTCGCTTGTCATAGGATATAATTTTGGGGCTTTTCAGATAATCAACTTATCAACTCTAACCATAGAGTGAGTTGCACCTTTTTATTCCTGGTTTCTATTTATTTTTGTGCTTTATTACATTATTTTTGTTTATTTATTTGGTAACTTGGTTTTATGCTTGAAATATTGTAAATACTTTTTTTTGCAGTTGATTATTTTTAATTTCTGTTAAAATAGACCTTGTCTGGCATTGTGGATTTCTCCCTGTCCTTGCTGTTCTCATTTCTTTCTCTCTCTTCAATTTCAAAATTATGTAAAATCTTATAAGCGTTGTGATGTTTCAGTTGTGCGAGCCCCTATGAAGACAACATGCCTCCAGTACATTCCTTTGCCTGCCAAGAACCAGAGAATGACCCCAAGAACTTTGTTTACCTGTGGCTCTGTCGGAGTTGGGGTCCATCTGGTAAGATGCATATCTAGCTCTTTTATGTATCATAGAGGAACTGAGAAAAAGGTGGTGGAGCATGATAAACAAATGGGTACTGATTTTCCTTGCTTCCCACAGATGAGTCTGAAGGTAAGGATGGAAGGCCTGCAGGCAGGAATAAAGCCCCAGCATTGTGCACCATGTATACCATGACCTACGACAACAAAGTGTGGATAGAAGGGCACGGACTGTGGTACCAGGGCCTTGCGTCTATTTCTCCGAGGTTTGAGTTTGATGCTATCGGAGGTCTGGGCTTGAAGGGCCAGCCAGCCCAACCCAGCACAGTGTTCACTGCCATGACAGTGCGGCAGACAACCCACAATTCAGCTGTGGCACCGGGAGGATCTTCAGCTGCCTCGGCACTTGCTACTCCTGATGAAGATGGTGAGATTGGATACAAGTAAATTTTACACATTATATGAAACCCAATTGACATATAGCAATAAATGTAACCATGGACATTGTTGAACTTTTATTGATATTCTTGTTTCTTCATTTTAGTCCATTATAGCATTTTATTTGATTTCCTTGGTTATTTTTGCAACACTTTCCAGCAAAGGTAATAATTTCTTTTATAATCTACAGCTGGACCAGCACCTGAACAAAGCCTGTCAATGTTTGGGTGGGTCGGAGGCGTCCTAGAACGGGGGTGTATTACTGTTAATCACTATCTGGCTATCTTTGACATTAACCAGTGGTACCAGGTAAGCATGTTTAGTGTACAAGATTGTCAAAATTGGTATGGCACAGTTTGATTTGAATTTTGATATTGATTACCAATAGGTGATATGCTGGAGTGTAATGGGGTTTTACATCCAAAGGTTTTCAGGGGCTTGAATAATGATGAAGGTGAGACTTATCCCCTTCCTTCCTTCCTCCTCTTCCATAGGGTACCCACTCTACCACTTACATCATAATCCACAAACTCAGTACATGTTTTTGTCTTTATCCCTTTAGGCTCAAATGCCCTCCAATTTGAAGCTGGATGAGTCTTTGCTGTGCCCATACATGAGCTTCCATGTCTTGGACAGAGTACCTGGGGGAGCTAATGAGTTTGTCCTCGGTGCAGCCCCCAAGCCAGCTTCATGGACTAGACACATGTCACGCACTTGTAATGATAGTGACTGGTTCCCTGCTGCCCTCTCATATGGTAAAGCTTTGTTTTTCCATGTGTGTGTGTGTGTGTGTTTTTTTTTTTTTTTTTTTTTTTTTTTTTTTTTGTGCCAAACAATTTTTTTCTTGTTACTTGAGTTTCAGGAATATTTGGAACCTGTTTCTATTATGAATATGTATAATACACACACACACCCGTACTTACATGTGTATATGTATGTATATATAAAAAATCCTTGACTAATGTTTAACCCAATATTACTGGGTTTGATTACTGTTCACTTTAGATTTTAGTGAGTATTGTGCTCAGCACAAGGAGTCAATCAGTTGGCTCTAGTGACTGATCCTTATTTCCCCATTCCTTGAATTGGTGAAAAATGTGTTTTTCTTTCCAACACTCTAATATTGAAATTGTTATCTTTCTTATTAATGTTGTTATTATTAAATTGTTATTAGATTTTTAATAACATCAAAGGCAATAAAATAATGGAAGTGGAGCTTTCAAAGAATGAATGAAAAGGGAAAACAGATGAGATAGATAAGACTAATAACTGACTCCTTGGTGACTAAGCACTTGTAAAGCCATCCATATGTAAAGACAATAGATAAACACCTCATCACAGTGGGCATTGTAGTCTTGCCACCTGGTGACATTGAATTAAGCACTGTAATTATTCATTGGTATGTTAATCCTTTTCTAGATGCCCATGTGTTAACTAGTCAAGGTCTGATGGAGTATAGATGCCTGAGTGCTCAGCAGGCATCCCTGACCTACCTAACTTCCTGTGGGCCCTCTGCGGTCGTGACCCCAGGAGAGGCCCATGCAATGTGCACCTTTTCTGGCCTTATTCCCCAAGACAACCATATGGCAACTACAGGATCTTCTATGGTGAGTTGCAATATGACTTGAAGTTATCATTACCCTTGCTTAAGTCATTTATTATGAAATATGTTTGAAAAGAAAAAGAGAGCTGATTGGTGTTTTTAAATTTCAGGTTTTGGAGCGTGAAGCTCTCCTGAATGTCGCTCTGGACCAGCAGTTGGTGTCCCTTTTAGTTCAGTGTGTAGCGGAATTTGCTGAGGGTCGCTTTACTAACCTCGGATGCTCCCTGCCGTCTTTACTGGATTGGGCTTGGTCAAGAGTGTGTGCCATCAAGGCCACCAACGACAACCTTAGTAAGTTCCCTACAGGAACATTATTCAGATAGACTTAAATTGTGTTGATGTAGAATTCATTTATCTCAAAGGGAAATGGACATATTCAGTCTTTTAACTTCACTTTTTCAGGTCTACCCCTGTTTGACCCAGACTGTGGAGTCATTAGTGCAGAGAATATTACCACTCTTCACCAGAATCTCAACAGTTTGGCCTCTCTCACCACCGTTGTTACTGCTATACGGGACTGTGCCAAAACAAACATGATAACCATGAAGGGTAAATTTCTAGCTTTTCTCCAATTTACTTTTATGTGCTTGTGTGTCTATATATGTGTGAAGGAGAAAGGCAATGGAAAACAGTATTTTCTTTTCTCTTCTCTTCTCTTCTCTTCTCTTCTCTTCTCTTCTCTTCTCTTTCTTTTTAAGAAAATAGTTTGAGTTGTTAATAGTGTTATGATATACTTGTCAATCTCAAATGAATTCCTAAAACTGAACTGTTACAATCATAATCATTTTGTGTGTTTTTCCCTGCCAAGGTGCTGGTGAGCTGGAGAGTCGTGTCCAGGTTGTGAGTCTGTTGATGCTACATTTGAGTGTTGTTCTGTGGTTTTATCACTGTGGCCTCCTTTCTCATAGTCCCACAGAAGATATAGAAGAGTGTCATGTCCCCTTCCCTGCTGATCTCTTATGTCGGATATACAAGAACAGGTAATTATTATTCAGTTCAGACAAAATGTGTTTGATCATAATGTTGATTTTCCTCTCTCTTTTTACAATTTCAGTGGCACTAATAGATCTAGAAATTGCTAAAGAAACTTTAATATCAAATAAAAATCAAACGAGTTCACAAGCACTGAAGAAAGTTCCATAAGTGCCTCCTTCCTGTTCCAGACGCTCAGAAATCAAGCGACTGAGCACCACCCTAAATGGGGCTGAGATCCTCATGATCGATGGTTTGTTGGAGGACGTGAACGGCGGCGGGAGTATTGGGAAGGCTTGGGAAAAAGAGGGAGGAAGTGGCTTGTACCCTCCTCCTTCCTTGCATGCCCTGTTAGCCATCTTCCTACTCCCAGACATCTCTACCACCACCAAGCACCGCATTGTTCAGTACCTCTTCCTTGATCTGGCATCACTCCTCTCTGATGGGTAGGGTTGTGGATGTGATACAAAGTATGAATATGATTATATTTGATATGCTGTATTAAAAGCCGACATAACCTCCAGCTCTTTTTGCTCATTTTTAGTAATACCTGTGTGGTTTGTATCGTAAGGGGATTGTTCATAATTCATGTTGCAATATGCTCCTCCAGGTACACAAGAGTAGTGGAGGAGTTGGTGAAGTATCCGTCAAGTTTTTCTCTGTCTCCGTCACACATCAAACTTACACAGGCCTTCTGGCTGCTTGACCATAAGGACTTCCAGGTAGAGTGTCTTCCCCTTGCATATTGACAAAAATTTGTGATTATTGATGGTTATGTTCAAACGGAAGGAACTTTATATATTTTCCTTATTGTATTTTTTCTCTTGCTCTTCAGGAGGGACTTAACGTGTTACTGGATCCGCTGGTTAATGCTAATGACATCACACCCTCACAGCATAGAAGAATTGTTAAGGCTTTCCTCTATCAGGTTAGTTATATATTGCTTAGAAAAAAATTGTGTTTTCCCTTGAGGTTACAAGATTACATTCTTTCATATAAATAGCTGTTGTTTAGTAGTTAATCACTCAGGTTTCCCGTTTTTTATACATCATTAAGAAGTGAAAGTGACATCGATATAAGATCCATACTGCAATGTTCTCTTTGATAAATATAATGGGATTGACAGCTGATACAATCACAAGAAACAAAGAGGGCGCTACATAAACAAATAAAATATATGCAGTGTAATACTACACTTTATAGTTGAGATTCATTGAAATAGTTATAATTTTTCATTATTACAATGAAATAGTTAAATCCTTATTTCATTATTACATTAGATTACCATCATAGGGGTCTTTTAGAATATGAATATTAGTTCCAGTTAAGCATTAACTCTGAACAATATGTATCTGAGAAGAAATCGCTCAGGACAGTCTTTTGACTGAGTCATGGACAAAATTTATGACAATCTTGGAGTACAATATTTTTTAGGACTCCTTAAATTTTCATAGAAATTCTGTGACCTTTCATGAATAGTGCCCCTGGGCACTGTTAGTAAATTATTTATAAAATTATCAAAAAAGAATATTAGATATAAAAATGTGATCATATGTTCCCCCATACTAAATAAATTTCTCCTCAGGGTGAACACACACGGGCACTGACTTATGCCCAGATCCGACAGCCTCCAAAGGTGGACTTGGATGACATCCGACTGCATCTCACTCTCCTCTTAGCCAATGGCTTGATCCGTGAAGCCTTCCATTACCAGAGGACTCATCGAGTTAAGGACAACTCGGAAGATCTTCTAAATCATCTTTTCACAGGTAATTATGGTTATTTATGCTTTGTTGGATGATCAGATATTTCAACCCATTTGCCCCGGATTTATGTTCTGGTGATTTTTGTTACAAACAGATGGCTCCACGTGCTCAGCCGGTAAGGCGGCTATCAGTAGGCCCTAGTTACCGATCCTGATTTTCCCATACAGTGAATTGGCGGGAAAATTAATACAATTGCTATTGATACTGTTATTATTGTTATTGATGTTATGATTATTAAATTGTCATTAAAATATTTTAGACAATGAAATGATACAAAAAAAAAAAAATTCCCTAAAGTTAAGGAAAAGGGTAAACAGGTGAGATAGGTACTTCCGATAAACTGGCTATTTGGTGATTAAGAACTTGTAGAGCCATCTATGTGTAAATACAAATAAATAAACATGTATTACAGTGGGCATGGCATGTATTCTTGCCACATGGGGCGAATTAGTTAAAATGCCTAGTGAGTCTAAGCATGCTGCACAATCTTTGTGCATTTGTGGCGAGTCATTCCATTCACCCCATTCTTCAGCCAGAATTCTTATAGCACCCCAGCCCTCAGTCAAATTTTGCCGTGACAGCATATTCATGTCACCCTCCCCTCAAGCCAGATTTTTTCAAGACAAGATGGTCACATCATCTGAATCGTAGTGTTAATCCATTAGTGACAGTATTAGAAATCTCTCGGTGTCATAGACTCCGGTGGTTTCTGGCACCCGTCCTGCCATTGGGAGCGGGAGTCCGCTACGTTTGGCAGAACTTCCTGCTTAACGTGCTCTAGTGCATCACCATATGTATAGCCATACTGAGAAGATCAAGCGGTTTGTTATGACGGCTATATTCGTGACACAGCAGTAACAGGTTAAGTAAGGGTACAATTTTATAAAGCAGAAGAAAGGACAAGAATGTGATTTGAATGCTTGGTCCAGTGAAAAGAAAACCAGCAAAAAATATATATTCAATTATAGACCTACAAAACTGTTTATTCAACACTAAGATGCACATCCATTATCTTTATAATTTTTATAATTTTTTGTTTTTTAACAGGTTGTGAACAACTCGGGAAACTGGAGTGTGTGGTTCACCTGCCTCTCTCACCCTTGGAAGAGGATGCTCTTGTGTCCTACCTGAGGACCTCCTCGTATCCTGCAGCTCAGGATTATCTCCTTGTTTATTATCTGCAGAGAGCCAGGTCAGTTTTTCATTATGGGTGATGGCTGTTCTTGCAGACAAATCTTTATCAGGATCTTTATATTTTAGGTTGGTCTTTAAATGTTTTCTTGTTGGTTTTTGTTTGTTTAATTCAATAGTTTGTTTGCTTATTTAGGTACGATGAAGCTGCAGTTCTACAAAATAACCTTCGTGGTGGTCTTGGTACTGCCAAAAAGCGACAGGGAGCAAGGTCAGCACTCATCCATGGCTATCTCACACACTTGCCTGATGTTGCCAAGAAGGTTAGTTGCTTTTTTTTCTGCACCAAGTCACAATTAGTTAGTATATCCTCTCATGTTAAAATGATGTAGTTTGGTTATCAAAGATCTGACTGGTAAATAGTGAGTGGGATTTGTATTTTTTACTTTGCAATGGAGAAAAAAAAACATGTAATTTCAAGATTGCTAAGTATATATTCTTTCTAGCTGTCATCTGCCAACTTGAGCAACAGAGGACCAACACACACAGTCTATAGCAAACCCCAGCCCCTGTCAGCCCAGATCCGGCAAGCAGCATGCAGCCCCAAGACAACTGCAACTAACATTCATAAAACGATACAGCGAGAGCAAGACGCATGGCCAGTAAATAAGGGTGCGACCACACCCTACACCCCATTCAGGAGCAGAGCGCAAAGGCGGAGAGGGTATGGACAGCCTGAAGGTCTTGGGTTCGGGGATATCAGCTCGCCCAAATTGAGAGATCCGACCAGGTAATGTTCCAGAGTGATACATTTAGAACCACATAATAAACTTCCTTAAGAAATTATGTATCTAGAAACTAAAGAAAGAAGATTCCTTTTTATTAAGTTAATGGAATTCAAGGTTTCTTCTACATCGTCTTCTAGTTGGCTTTGTTGAATGGAGTAAGCAATGACAAACACATATAGATTTGAGCCTTGTTGCTTCACTACTTTAGTAATGATAACTTAGCATTCTACTATTCTACCTTAACACAGAATCGATAATCAGAATATTTTCTTTAGAGAGAAAAAGTGTACCATGTTATTTGGCTGCACTGGACTTTAGTCAGGAATTTTGTGAAATAACAATACAAATGTATAAGATGAATAAATGGGAAGAAATAAAATATAAAAAAGAAAGGAATACAATGAGTTTGTGATATGTCAGTTAAATATTGTAGTCGAGTGAAAAAAGTAATCGTGTACCATTTCCCCAATTAAAACTGCAAATTAATAATATTAAGAGTATAAATACAATGAATAATAATAATAATGTTAATAATCTTTGTTTTAGGGAGATATCCCACACTGTCTTCCCATCTCGAGTCGAAGCAAGCCAGTTAAGATATGTTGATCATGACGGTGATATTGGCCTCTTCAGTCCAGCCATCAAGAGGAGCCGCCAAGAATTGTCCCTTTTGAATGATGATACTTCAAGACTGATGGAGTCAGTCCTTAGAAAAAATATTCACAGCAGCATGGATGTGAATGCCAGGTTAGCAGTGTTGATTTGTGTTTCATTATTAATTTCATGTTAATGTGTATATGAGGGAAATTCAGTTGTCACCCAGAAAAGCCCCTCTATCTGTATCTGTTTTCGTTCTTATGACCCACAGTGTGTCTCAAAACATATCCTCCGATTTGCTGTCCTTACTCCAAACCCCAAAAATTGCCCGGAAGAGGAAGCCTCTGAACCGTTCTGTTGGAGAGTCGCCTCTTGCGGACACCCCGCAGTCCATACTCAAGGTGAGTGGTTTTTATTTTTTATCTCTGTGCTCATCTCTGCTTAAGATTGTTACTTAACAGAACAGTAACAATATCCATGACATTCACTTGGTTGTTAACAATTGAAGATTATATATATTTATATAATTTATTTCTTTTTCTTTTTTTCTTATCTTTTCCTTTTCAATAATTCTTTTTACTATTGCTAATGAATAGATGTCTTCTTGATGAACAGCTTTTATTTTTCTTACCATCCCTCCAGGTGCGCCAGATGGTAAATAGACCCATGAGTCCATCGGCTACCAGCGACACTTCCATCCCAGTGTTCCCACGAATTACCAAGCGAGCCAGTATTTGTAAGTAATCAATATGTGTAGCCATTGGATTGTTAGTTTCTGTCAAGTTTGTAATTATTTTTATCAGCCCCTCTTCTTTCTTTCTTTTTCTTTTCTTTTCTTTTTGTTTTAATTTTTCAAAGTATATAAAATTTACATTGAAAGGATATTTCTGGTGGTTCAGTTCCTTTAGTCTACATAAAAACTGTTATTTTTATATTGTTTCTCAGTGACTTTTAGGGAATGATATCACATCAAAGAAAAGTAAAATTATAGAATGCAAGGAGTTCAGTGAACCTGATAATCATTTCTCAGAGGAGGAAGGCACTGAACAGAATCTTTTCTTTTAGCAGCCAGTGAGGAGGTTGTGACGAGCAAAGTCAGCGATTCTAACATGACTCCCAAGCAACTGCGTTTCCACCTCCCCAAGACGAGAGCAGAAGGAGAGAGCAACGGCAAGGAAGAAGTGCTGGAGAGGGAGGAAGATGATGATCTAGTACCCTTGAAGCTTGATGAGGAAGAGGAAGATGCAGAGGAAGAAGAGGAGGAGAGAGAGGAGATTGATGAGGCAGTGGAGGAGGAGGAGGAGAGAGAGGAGATTGATGAGGTAGTGGAGGAGGAGGAGGAGAGAGAGGAGATTGATGAGGCAGTAGAGGAGGAGGGAGAGGAAGAAGAGGAGGAGGAGGATGCAGAAGAGAATGAAAAGGAAGAAATTGATGAAGAGGAAAAGATAGCCACAGAACAAGTAGCAGAGGAAGAGTCTATAGAGATGGAGGAGGAGGAACCATCAAGGAAGACAGAAGCAGAGGAAGAAGAGATGGAGGATGTAGAGGTGGAAGAAGAGGAAACAGAAGAAATGGAATGTAATGATGAAGTGAAAGAAGCAAACAGTGGAAATTGGATTGCAGTGTCACCACGTCCTGAAATTCACAATAAGAAGCTAAGCCCAGTGAGGTAAGGAATGATTGTTTTTCTGTAGTTTCTTTTGTTGATTATACCCACATTTTACTTGCGGTCATCGTAAGTCTTGTTTTTTTTTACCTACATTCTTTCACCCACTCATCACAGGTACAGTTGAAAATATTGTGAGAATTGGCAGCATGAACAAGGTTGCATGTTTGTTTGTTTGCATCTGTTCAGGGAGTAGTATTCAAGTTTGATTAACAGGGTGCAAAACAGGTTTTTCAGTGACATAGTGACACAGTGTTTTGCATGACACAATTACCCCTAAAGTAAATTTTAAGTTTGGAAGTCTTTTTAGTTTTCCTCTCATGAAAGCAACCTAATGAACAAAGTTGGTAGAAATATGAGGAGCATGGATGTATTCTTCTGGGGTTATGGAGGAAAGGAGAATGTTTGTCTCAGAACGGAAATTTGTCTTGTTTCGACCTCTGACCAACACATTTTCACTTTGTATAGGCGCAAGTCTACTGGAATCCCATCGCCACGGCAACCTCTGCCTGGCTACGTGGCCAAAACAACTCGGGCAGAAGCAATGTTACCCCAGAGGTTAGAGCATGAAGGAAAGCATACATGGCTTGAAAGAACAAGCTTCTGTTGCTATAATGCTATAATGGTGGTGGTCTTTCAGTGATTGTCATGCTTTTGTGCCTATAATGGGAGTCTGGTTGGGGAAATGTTCCCTTTTTATACATCTATTGTAGTTGTATGTATTTATTTATTTATTTGTTTTATCTTTTTGTTTTACTTACATATATATATATATATATATATATATATATATATATATATATATATATATATATATATATAATATACACTTTTTCTTTCTTTCTTTCTTCTTCTTTTTCTTTTTGTAAATAAGATCTTTTTCTTTTTTCTTCATTTCTTTTTTATCACCAAGGTACTTAATTTCAGACTACTTGGAAAACTAACATGTTTGCTCTGGCTACTAGAACTTCCATATACATAAAGTTTCCCTTTATGACCTGTGTATATTTTAGTTATTTATATATTAATGTTTACTTATAGGTCTCCCATTTTTGCAGTGTCTTCAAGGAGTGTGCTGATGCAGATGAAATAGATGCAAGCAGAGCATCTGAGGATGAAGGAGATGTTGAGTATCCAAGCAGGGAGACCACTGTGAATGAGGACTTTTATAGCTTCACTGAAGAGGATGAGTTCAATATCTCAGAAAAATCTGCAACATCTGCAGCGGGAGATGTGGTGGCCAAGGAATCTGCTGTTTTGGTTGACAGAGTAGAAGAAAAGGAGCCTGACACTAAGAAAGCAAGTGAAACAGAAGAGAAAACAGAGTGCAAGCTTGATCAAGTGCAAAACAATGGTCATGGTATTAGTGAGGTCCAACGGGTAGAATACGTAGTGGAAACCTCCCAACAGGAAGTCCACCATGAGGAGGTGAAGAAATCTGTTTTGATTGAGCAGGAGACACTCATCTTGAGAGAACTAGAGACCAAAGAGGAAAAGATGCAGCAGCAGCTTAATGAATCAGAGCATTTTGGCACTCTACAGTTTTCGGATTCGGAAAGCGAAGATGAATCAACAACAAAGGCCCAGCCTCAAGAAGAAGCTTCCACTGTGCCCAGCCAGGAGCTTGTATCAGAAGAGAATGGTGGCAGTGCGGAAAAGGAAGAGGAGATCATTGAGAAGCTGTCAGAGGAAGAGGAAGAGATGATAGTAGAAGCTCTCTCAGAAGAGGAAGATCTGAGCCTGGCTCTAGACACAACAGAACGATTCAGTCCTCTGCGATTTTCAGATTCAGAAAATGAAAATGAAGATAATGATGGTGGCTCTGATGGTGAACAGGAGAAAGTTATTGATAGAAATGGAACAGATAAGACTCTTGTAGAATTAAGTGAAACCAAAGACAAAGAGGAAATTAAGGTTGACACTCCACAGTGGCATCCTGTAAGTGTGCAGGTCTTCAAAACAGAGATAGTCTCAGAGACAAAAGTCATCAGAAAGACTGTAGAATCTCCATTACCAAAGGAACCAGTCCTCACAGAGAGCAAATCGGAAACTATCAGTGTAGAGAACAATAACGAAGAAATTGCAAAATTTATTGGAGAGGATGCATCAAAGAAGGATGTAGCTGTAACAGAGACAGGAGAACCAGTTGCAAGCCTTGAAGAACAAAGAGTATCATCTACCTCGTCTACAAATGGATCGTCAGAACTAAACCACAAAGCTCTAGAAAGCATATCATCTTCAAACATCTCGGAGTCCTCTACTGGGGTGTCGAAAGATCAGTTGGAAAAATCGGACATTCCACCTGCCATAGACTCCATGGACATGGATGAAGAACAGGGCGAGGTTGCTCATGAAGAGGGCAAAGAAGTGGAGAAAGACACAGACACAGACATAAAGGAAAGTGTTATTGAGAAAATGGAAGAAAAGATGGGTACATCAGTAGTAGATAGTGTTGTTGGTTCTAAACCAAGCATCTCTGTAGAAAATGAGACAGATATGGAGACAGATGAAACTGATGGGAAGGCAATTGGTGAAAGGGAGTCCCAGCAGGAACCAGAAGCTTTAGAAAGAGCAGAAGTTGGTAGATTAGATGTTACACCACCTGAGGAGACTGATTCAAAGGAGGAAAAAACTAGTGATAAGGAAGATGGTACTGAAATTAAGTCAGACCTTGTAGAAACTAGAGATAGACAGGCTAGTAAGGTTAAAGAAATGCTTCAAGAAGTAGAAAGCAGTCCTCCAGAGGAAAGTTCTGAACTTCCCACTAGACCAGAAACACCAACTAGAAAAGCTGAGGAGGTACCAGAGACTTCAAGGGTAGCTTCCATGCGAAGAAGTCGAAGACTCAGCACATCATCACCAGCCACTCCTGCAACCCCAAGGAGAAGCCGACGGACAAGCGGCAGTACAGCAGATGAACCAGTGACACCTGCCCACAAGTCTCTGTTAACCGAAGTGGCCTTTGAGAGGGTGACAAGGTCAGGAAGGAAGATCGGACAGGTGCCAACGCCCGTCACAAAGAAGCGGGCCACATCCCCCACATCTAACCTTGTCTTATCAGGGAGAATGCAGAGAAGAGCCTCGGCAGCAGCCGAGGAAGTTCAGAAAGTGACTCAGAGGCTGGAGTTATCTACTGATGAAATTGAGGAGGGACCTGCAGCAGGTCAGGAACCAGAGTCTGTGTCTATAGCCACTCATGATGTCCTGCCAACCCCACCCTCATCGCCAACAACTCCATCTACAAGGAGACGAAGGAGGCAGAGCTCAGGAGAGGCTGAAGCTTCTGCCACCAAGTCACCGAGTAGGCGTTCTACCAGACAAAGTGCCTTGGATGAGTCTTTAGGAACAATTCAAGAAGAAGCAGAGGTATCAGAGAGTCTAGAGATTAAGGCCACAAAAAGTAAAACCACCCCTAGGAAATTAGAAGGTACTCCCACCAAAGCAACACCAACTAAAGCCACACCAACAAGGACACGCAGAAAATCTGCCAAACAAGCTGCTGGCATTGAGAGCTTAGAAACAATTAAAGAGGATGCAGAACTTTCAACTGGTTTTGTGCCCCTTGTTTTAGATGAGCAGATAACAGGAACTCCATCCCGAAGAACTCGTCGTTCACTTGCAGGAGAGACTAGTCAAACGCCTGGCACTCAGACACTCGGGGAGGTTTCAGAGACCACCCCAGAAACAAAGACCCCATCTCGTACCAGAAAAAGGTCCATATCAAAGACATTAGAAGCCACTCCTGAGGTCAAAACTCCTATGCGTACAAGGCGGCAATCTGGTGCATCTGATGTTTCTGACATTGCGGGGGAAGCTAAGACACCAACACGAAGGACACGAAAGTCTGTCACAAAGGAAGTGTCGGAAGTCACTCCAGAGAAGAAGACGCCTTCAAGGACAAGAAGACAGTCAGTGTCTTCTGATGTCTCAGAAGCAGCCCAGGAGGCCAAGACACCAACACGCAGGACACGCCAGTCTATTTCAAAGGAGTTGGCAGAGACTGTCCAAGAAGCCAGAACTCCAGTCCGCACAAGAAGACAGTCTGTTTCATCTGAAGTGTCAGAGGCAGCTTCAGAACCCCACATACAGGCACGTGGAAGGCGCCAGTCCATATCAGAAGGTATGACAGAGGTCGTTCCTAAAGCAAAAACTCCCTCACAGAAGAGTCAACTATCTCGATCAGCCAAAAGTACAAGAAGAAGAACAATACAGGTGTTACAATCTGAAGAGGAATCTGCTTCTGAAGCTGCACACAGATTGATCTCTGTCCCATCTCCAGGATCAGAAATATCACAGGTTAGTTAGCTGTATTTGGTAATTTGCTTGCAGGGGTTCATTGCCCTTTTTTGTGTGTGTGTGTGATAATTATGCAAAATATTATTTTGGATGCTACTTGATTTGTTACTTTTCATATGATTTTCATCATTCAGTGTCTTCTATTTGTTTATTTATTATTATTTATTGTTTTTCCAGAGATCTCCAGATAGAATGTCAACCAGATCTAGCGTCAATAGCCCACTAACGAGCATAAAAGGTTGGAAATAATGTGGCACTTTTTTGTATTATAACAATAGTACTTGGTAGAGCTGTCATTACAAGTACATTGTAGATGATGTTCTGGAGGTCTCTACCTCGTTCCCTTATTTCTTTCTTTACTCTCTCTTCCTTCTTTTCCTTTCTTAATTCACCTGGTACCAGCCCTCCATGGACAACAATACCAATATCTTTAGTTTGTGCAATTTTAGTTTGCCCGTAAATATCTAGAGATAACACATGAAGGTGGATATAACAAAAGTTAATAGTAGTTCAGACCAGGTTGATTGACATTGAGTAGTTCCCTTTATATAGTCCTCTACCTTTTATTCACAGACTCAGAGAGCAGCGAAGAAGAGGAGGTGGGCCGAAAGAGAGCATCTAAACAAGCAGCTAAGAGAACAGGAAGAAAGTCTTTGGCAGTTGAGAAGACTGTGGATGAATCAGCTCCCTCTCATCCTCCCCCTTCTCTCCTTCCCTCCCTCTCATCCTCCCCCTTCTCTCCTTCCCTCCCTCTCATCCTCCCCCTTCTCTCCTTCCCTCCCTCTCATCCTCCCCCTTCTCTCCTTCCCTCCCTCTCATCCTCCCCCTTCTCTCCTTCCCTCCCTCTCATCCTCCCCCTTCTCTCCTTCCCTCCCTCTCATCCTCCCCCTTCTCTCCTTCCCTCCCTCTCATCCTCCCCCTTCTCTCCTTCCCTCCCTCTCATCCTCCCCCTTCTCTCCTTCCCTCCCTCTCATCCTCCCCCTTCTCTCCTTCCCTCCCTCTCATCCTCCCCCTTCTCTCCTTCCCTCCCTCTCATCCTCCCCCTTCTCTCCTTCCCTCCCTCTCATCCTCCCCCTTCTCTCCTTCCCTCCCTCTCATCCTCCCCCTTCTCTCCTTCCCTCCCTCTCATCCTCCCCCTTCTCTCCTTCCCTCCCTCTCATCCTCCCCCTTCTCTCCTTCCCTCCCTCTCATCCTCCCCCTTCTCTCCTTCCCTCCCTCTCATCCTCCCCCTTCTCTCCTTCCCTCCCTCTCATCCTCCCCCTTCTCTCCTTCCCTCCCTCTCATCCTCCCCCTTCTCTCCTTCCCTCCCTCTCATCCTCCCCCTTCTCTCCTTCCCTCCCTCTCATCCTCCCCCTTCTCTCCTTCCCTCCCTCTCATCCTCCCCCTTCTCTCCTTCCCTCCCTCTCATCCTCCCCCTTCTCTCCTTCCCTCCCTCTCATCCTCCCCCTTCTCTCCTTCCCTCCCTCTCATCCTCCCCCTTCTCTCCTTCCCTCCCTCTCATCCTCCCCCTTCTCTCCTTCCCTCCCTCTCATCCTCCCCCTTCTCTCCTTCCCTCCCTCTCATCCTCCCCCTTCTCTCCTTCCCTCCCTCTCATCCTCCCCCTTCTCTCCTTCCCTCCCTCTCATCCTCCCCCTTCTCTCCTTCCCTCCCTCTCATCCTCCCCCTTCTCTCCTTCCCTCCCTCTCATCCTCCCCCTTCTCTCCTTCCCTCCCTCTCATCCTCCCCCTTCTCTCCTTCCCTCCCTCTCATCCTCCCCCTTCTCTCCTTCCCTCCCTCTCATCCTCCCCCTTCTCTCCTTCCCTCCCTCTCATCCTCCCCCTTCTCTCCTTCCCTCCCTCTCATCCTCCCCCTTCTCTCCTTCCCTCCCTCTCATCCTCCCCCTTCTCTCCTTCCCTCCCTCTCATCCTCCCCCTTCTCTCCTTCCCTCCCTCTCATCCTCCCCCTTCTCTCCTTCCCTCCCTCTCATCCTCCCCCTTCTCTCCTTCCCTCCCTCTCATCCTCCCCCTTCTCTCCTTCCCTCCCTCTCATCCTCCCCCTTCTCTCCTTCCCTCCCTCTCATCCTCCCCCTTCTCTCCTTCCCTCCCTCTCATCCTCCCCCTTCTCTCCTTCCCTCCCTCTCATCCTCCCCCTTCTCTCCTTCCTTCCCTCTCACCCTCCCCCTTCTCTCCTTCCCTCCCTCTCATCCTCCCCCTTCTCTCCTTCCCTCCCTCTCATCCTCCCCCTTCTCTCCCCCTCTCCCTTTCCCTCACCCCTCTCTCCATTCTTCATTCCTATGTTTGTGTATCCAGTTTTTAATGTATGATTTGCCTCTCTGGGTAATGAGAAAGAAAAGTCTCTAGTACTCCATAGAGTTCTCAGTATTGTTTCCTTTATTCCTTCCTCAGACACAGGGCTGTCCACACCCCCGGATTTTGGTGCTACCCGTCGTGCGCGGACTTCCAAGAAAGGGAGTTCCGCCTCCACCTCAGTCTTGATCTTGGAGGAGTCGAAGGAACTGTTGGACGAAGAGGAAGAAATGGTCTTGGAGAGTGGGGGGGATGTGTTTGAAGGCGTAGATGAAGGTGAGTTTTTCTGAGAGTTCATCCGTATGGACATTTCGGCCTTCCTCCTCTATCTTTGCTTTCTTCTTGTTTCATTATTGTACATTTATTCCCTTGCATTGTTTTTGTTTTATTTTACTGAGAGTTGAGCCATATGGGTGATTTCTTCTTTTTTCATTATATATGTATATGTATACAGTTGTTTACATTTACACATATACATGTGTGTGTCTGTATGCATATATACATATTGTAAATTGATATTGATAAAAAAAAAAAAAAAAAGAAAAGAAAAAAAAAGGTTTGGGAATATATATGTGCAGGCTCTCTAGACATGTTATTCCTCTTTCCCAGAAATAGCAGAAGCTGAAACAGAAGCCCAAGACAGTCCAGATGTGTCGCTCTTGAAGGCAAGCAGCAGGGGCAGAAGGAAGCGATCCAGCGCCCTTTCTCTACTTTCAGTACCAAAGGAGGGGAGGAAGATCTCTGCGCTGCCCAAGCGTTCCTTGACTTCAATGAGATTGGCAACGGATTCTTCGCAGGATGGTTAGTTTCAGGAGGTGTACCTTGTCTTCCGGGTCTTACTTTTTTGGCAAGTGGGAAAGTGGGCAAAGTTTCTTTTCTCCACAATTTCTAAAGTTAGTCATGATAATATTAAGATGCCATGTATTAAGATTCTTGCTTTAAGGGATTGGCAAAAGAGCAGTTAACCATAACTTAACTCAGACCCAAACATATTGATTAGTACTTCTTTCTTTCTTTTTCTTTCTCCTGGCCCCCTTTTCCTTTTTTTTTTTTTTTTTTTTTTTTTTTTATTATTATTATTATTATTATTACAATTACTTAGTTTCCTATTTATTTTCTTTAATTCAAGAGTTCCTGTCTTTGCAGAGGATACAATGGAAACGAAAGTGAAAAAGACGAGGAAAGCGTCCCGAAGGACCACAGCAGCAAATGCGACAATTCTTGAGCTAGAGCCAGAGAGGAGGGACAGTGTTGGAGATAAGGAGGAGGAGGAACAAAAAGTGGAGAAAGTAGAAAAGAAAAGAAGGTCAGTAAAAAAGACTAAGTCACAGGTAGAAAAGAAGGGAATGCCAGTAGATGTGGATGTAGCATTAGAGAAGAAACTCGAGGCCGTGCAGGAGATGGCGGAAGCGACCGAAAGGGAAGCAAAGGCTGAACTTCGGAAAGCAAAACCCCACGGAGAAGCTATGAGCAAAGATACCAAAGAGGAGCAAGTGACGCAGTTTCACTTTGCGACACCGAAGCCTGTCATCAGCTCGAGGAAAGCCAGAGGTAAGGAGCGGCCAAGGAGGAGGAGAACAAGGGTGAATCCTTAACTCTTTTTACTAACCCACATGTGAGGAGATGATTGCACCAGAGTTGATTTGCACCAAGTCATTGCAGTGCAGTAAATTTGTTTCTGGCACAGTAGCGTAAGTCTGCAGTTGAAAATTGAGTGGCCATTATTAACTATTGGGTTAGCAGTATAAAGGTAGAGCACTGAAGAGTTGCACTGCCAAGTGAGTTTTGGGCCTACTAGAGTTATTGCACAATAAATTTGCAACCCTCTGATATGGTAGCCTGGACCACGTACTTGTATTATTACCCTGGTACACACTTTGCTTTCTTGGATATTGCACTTTCATGAAGAATATTTGGTAAGTACCACTATTAAGATTTTAGTTTTGTGAGTGTGTATGTGTATGCTTTAGTTTGTCTTCTAGATTTGTTGCATGATATTTGGTGTATGTAGAAAGGTAGAAAATGTTTTTTTTTTTTTTTTTTTTTATTGTGAAGGAATTGTGGGAGTTGTAGAGATTGGGGTTGAACCATTCTAAAATAAGTAGACTTGTTTATATGTATTGCAGAAATTTCTTTGATTGGTCTGGTAATGTGACCTGAAACCCAGTAGATGTATATAATCAAATGTATTATCACAATCTGTGACAGTCACCATCATTAAAAAATGCTTAATACAAAGCAGATAAATATATGCATTGCCGTTAAATATTGTAGAATTCGTAATGCTCTTGTGCATTGTAAGTGCCACAAAATTGATATATAATCTGTTGTATTATAAAGTATAAATTTCAGCTGGCCCAGTTTGTCCCCCCAACATTTCACATTTAAACATGAATGTTAAGGCCAAGTAAAAAATAATAATGAAGATGATGATAAAAATAAGATTCCTATAACATGCAAAAACATGTGGTGTTAATAAGTAAAAGCTTTATCTGCTATTTTTTACAATGTCAGGCCTTATCAGGCTCTCCTGTTTTTTTACTTGGTTCAGACACCTCATACCTATTTTTCTTATTCTGCTGTTGGTCTGCAGACTGTGAAGCTTTCCTCATATCCCATCTAATTGGAACCCCATTTCATGTAAGCAGCATGACATCACAGCAGGTTACATACATATAGTTATTGCCTGAATTATGTAAGCTACCACATACCCCAAGAAGAGCTTGGCTAAAGGACATAGTAGACTAAAGATTGGTTCATTCCTTGGAGCACTTGAAGTGACAGACTTGTAAGAAATTAAAGAGAAGAAAGAAAAATGCTGTTTTGCAAAGTATAAGGAATCCTCCCCTGTTTGAGAGCCAGCCTGGTTTCTTTGTGCCAGACATCTGCTGCTTTTCTGTGCTGGAGACAAGGTTAAAAGGATAATAATAATTGATAAATGAATAGATTTTTATTGTGGAATTTTTGCACACAACTGCATCCAGAAACATGCTTACAAAATAGTGAGAATTCAGGCATCCTGTTGACCGGTGCATTTAATTGTACCCATAGTATTACAGTAGTTCATTTTGGTGAGGATAAATAATCTCCTTGTGATAAATGTTCTCACTTACTAACAACATATTAATATTTCCATATTGAATTGATATGATACCATACTGACTCATTAAACATCCGCCATGCAAGAAATAATGGCAATTAACTGATTTTTTCCCCTCCCCATCCTTTTTCTGCCACAACAGCACTTGAACACCTGATGGGAGAAGCAGTGGAATTCTTGTTTTCTCCTCCTTTAGCTGAAGGAAGGATTGTGAAGTAAGTTCCATCTGGATGAATAATTCCTTTGGTCTTTCTCTTTTTCTTCTCTTTTTGGTTCTTCTTCTTCTCTTTGGGTTTTTTTTATTCTTATTCTCTTCTTTGGGTTGTATTCTTTTTTTTTCTTTATATTAGAAATAATCATGATGATAATGTTCTCTTTGCTTCATCAGTGATGAAAACTAGCCTCACTTCTGAGGCTAGTTTAATGTTTTATGTCCTGATGCTCCTGTCTTGCTTAAATTACTTTATAAATTATTATTATTATTATTAATACTTTTTTCCCCCTTCCCCTTACCCTTCCCCCTACACACACCCATCACTATCAGTTTATTTTTCTGTTTACATTGTCATTTTTTCCCTTTTTGTTTTCTATTATTACTTTTGTTGTTAATGCATCTCTGCATTATGTCACCAGAACCCATGCCAAGATCGAGGAAGCCAGAAGCAGTTCGAGTGAGTCCGAGACGGAAGCAGCTGTTCCAGAGAAGTCCTTCAACCAATGATAGTGGACAATTGCGGACACTAGTGGATAGATTATCGTGATTAACAGTGTTCTCTCTCCCCTGGAAAATGATCATTTGTGTTGATCTTTAGGTAATGATCAAATCTTGCTAACCTCAAAGCTTTAATGGCTCTTGGGAACTGCAAATGTGATCGAGGAGAAAAGAGAAATAGTTCGATGAGAGGGGATCACTCATGGTGGTACTGTTTTTACTCTTGATGTGAAGTGGAACTGTTCTCCTAAACTACAGTAAATGTATGCGTTTATGCATGGGAAGTGTATCTGTGAAGTGTGGTAATTATAATAATGAGACTTTTCTTTTCTTTTTTTACTTAAAACACTAAGATACTTTCTGTGATTGACACTGGAAAAAAAACATGTTGAGAATTTCTTTGTTTTCTCTTTATATATTTTTCATAGCTCTTTCCTGTTTATAAATTGTTTTTGCTTTTAGTTACTCTGGATCATGTTATTTTTTACTCGGGTTTAGCATAATTAATAAAAGAAAATTATTTCCTTGCCTTTGTTGTTATATGTTCAGTGGATCTAAGTAAGCAACTCTTCCAATTTAGCGACATTTTCCCGTAATTTTAACCCGTTTCGAGATTAATGTTGAACCAGGCTGTGATACAAGTTGTTAGGATATAATGTATAACCTTTTGCATAGAGCGATAAGAGTTAACAAGATGGAAAACAAAACAGAAAAGAAAGCCCCAAGTTGCACAAATATTCATCAGACGTTTAACCTTTTGATCAGGTAAGGGATGGCGCTATTAAACAGGCCTAGTCTTAACCATAGCACGTGTAACAGGCAGCCACGCTTGCCAACCACAAATACTACAATGTCCTCAGTAGTTTGTAAGGTTCGAATGTATTGTGATTTAGTTGGCACGTTGATTTTTTATTTATTTTTTTCGTTCATGTGGTCTTTTTTTATTTTTCCTCTTTTTGAAAGAGTTGCGTCGTAAGTGAATGTATGTTGCTGTAAGTTTTTTTGTTTTTTTTTTTACATCGGTATTCTACATAAAACCTTCATAGCGCAGTGCCGGTCTTACAATGTTGCGATGACTATATATATATATAAAATTACGTTCACTGCTGCAGCTCATGTATTTGTTCTGTTGATCAAATTGCTCAAGATTTGGCATGTTGGCATTTTAGTTTGTGATTTCTCCTTGTTCTTTTGTTTTTTAATTTGTGATAAGTGTATAGAATCTATTTTAAAGTAAATAGACCTTGCTAAATCGAGTCATCTGCCAGAATGTATTAAGGAGATAGCATACAGAAATGGAGACTATTCTAGGCTTTTTATCTTCCTACTTTCGCAAGATATTTTGGTGCCATTTTATATATTTTTGAAGCTTTTTGTTCTTTGGATTAGTTTAATCTGAGTGGAGAAAGGGATTTTTAATTTAAACGGCTTTTTATAAATAAAATACTGCAAAGAAAGTGTGTTTTTCTTTCCATGATTGTTTTATTTAAGTTTTCTCTATTTCTCTTTTTTCTCTCTTTCTTTTCCTTTATCCCTAGCTGCTTCTCTTCCTCTTTGTTTTTCCTCTTCCTCCTCTTCTTTCCTCCTCTTCCTCTTCATGCTGCCCACTTTCTCCTCCTCCTCCTTCACCATCATCCTTATATATCCTTCCTCTTACTCCTTTTTATCTTTATCCATTTCTTTTCCTACTCCTCCTTCGTACTACTATTACTTCTCTCCCTACCCTTCCTCCACATCTTTGTTTTTTCTCTTCATCCGCTTTCCTTTTCTTACCTTGTTCTTCCTCGTCGTCGTCGTTTTTCACCCCCTCCTCCTTTCCATTTGTCTTCTTCCGCCGCTTCATCATCTTCATCTTTTTCTTCATCCTCTTCCTATTCCTGCTCCCACTCCTCTACCTCTTCATCCTCCTTCCTACTTTCCTCATCCCCATCCCCCTCCTTTCCTCATCCTCCCTCCTGTTTTCATCTTTTCATCTTCACCCTCATCCTCATCCTCATCCTCCTTCCTTTCCTCATCCTCCCTCCTTTCCTCTTGCTCTTCCTTTCTTCATCCTCCTTCCTTTCCTCTCCTCCACCTCCACCTCCACCTCCTCCACCTCCTGCCACCAGCGACCAAGCAGAGGCAGTCGACTGCGGTGGACTTTTCAGCGACCTTCACGCCCGTCCTGCGGCGTCGGATTTGTTTGCATAACCAAGCAGAAAACAACGTGACCTTGAAGATCCCCACTGTAGCAAATACTTCCTTTTTTGGTTTTATTTTTATTATTGTCTTAATTATTGTTATTATAAGGAGTTACTCTCATCTGCTTGTGGTGAATGGACTGAAATTCAAAATATGTGAAGGGGTATAGATTTTTTTTATTTATTTATTACAAGGACTGAGGTACCTTGAGATTCTCCACTCTTGCGTGCTCATATCACACCGCTTTAGGCAAAGGAGAGAGAGAGTGTGTGTGTGTGTGTAGAGAGTGAGTGAGTTCATAGTTGAGGTATAATTGCAATTTGCGCAACAATTAATTTTGATGGAAAATGGTATGTTAAAGATACAATGTACACTACATATGTATTTTTCTATTATGAATAAGGTATAAATTCATATATTTTCTTTTCTTTTTATAAGTAGTTTTATCTTTAACAGTTAGCCCCCGAAAACAGGAGAGCAGTTGCAGGTGGAAAGCATTGACCACTGACTGATTTCATTGGCGAGACCTGGAGTATGTCCTAATCCTCTCAACCTCCCTTGCAATAGTACTTGAAATTCATAACTTATATCTTTCCTAAGTTTTCTTCGTCAGAAGTCTTTATATTTTTCTTCGTTTCCAGCATTCCACGCAATTCTTTCCCACTTTATGAGAATGAGAATGATAAAGGTGAGAAAAGGAGTCCGGTCTTCTTTAGGGCTCAGGAACGTACGTACGTACGTGTGTTTGTGTGTACGTGTACGTGTACACGTGTGTGTGTGTGTACGTGTACGTGTACACGTGTGTGTGTGTACGTGTACGTGTACACGTGTGTGTGTGTGTACGTGTACGTGTACACGTGTGTGTGTGTGTGTACGTGTACGTGTACACGTGTGTGTGTGTGTACGTGTACGTGTACACGTGTGTGTGTGTACGTGTACACGTGTGTGTGTGTACGTGTACGTGTACACGTGTGTGTGTGTGTGTACGTGTACGTGTACACGTGTGTGTGTGTGTACGTGTACGTGTACGTGTACACGTGTGTGTACGTGTACGTGTACGTGTACACGTGTGTGTACGTGTACGTGTACACGTGTGTGTGTGTGTACGTGTACGTGTACACGTGTGTGTGTGTACGTGTACGTGTACACGTGTGTGTGTGTGTGTGTATGTATGTATGTATGTGTGCGCGTGTACACGTGTGTATCCCGCAGCGTGAGGGTTATATCCTTGACCGACATATAACTGCCACGGATAATTCATGCTTCACGCTTCAGAATACAGTTCAGCTTCATATTCGAGCATGCAACTTTCAGGCGAACAAGAACAAACTCAAAATACGGTATAAAACGAAAAAAATATATATAATACAATTTTTAAAAAGAGAAGAACACAAACAAATAGATATTCAAATATCTAGGAAAAGAATTCACCGGGGAAGCTAACAACGCCCAGAGGCAAAAAGAGAGAGAGAGAGAGAGAGAGAAAACAAAAAAATCTGACGCATTTTAAATATGGCGACATCTGACATCTCTCCCTGTGATCTTGTTAATCTCTTTCGGTCGACTTGTCAGGCGGAGGATCTCCCGGAGGCACTTCCTGACGCGAAGGAGCTGCCGGAGGAGGGAGGCTGGGATGGCGAGGATAAGTGATAAGAATGGTGATAATCATGGTATCAAGAATAATGAAAATGAAAATAATAATAGTAAGAATAATTACAACATTGGGTAATGGAGGTGATAATTGGTGATAGTTAAAAAAAAAAAAAAAAAAAAAAAAAAAATTGGTGATAATATAAAATCGATAAATACTTAAGTAATCAAAGCTTAAGCA